CACGACACATATTCGGTCTCTATCCAAATTCGTAGAGGTTTATGAACGCGAGAAGCATCTGGACGGGGATTGAGGAGCAATCTATCACCGGCAGCACCTCCACACCAGTTAACAATATATGTCCCCGAATATATTACCTATCCGATTTTGGATGTATTATAAATCGAAAGCGTGTCGCATCCCGAAAAAAAAATAATAATTAAGCGAAGCTAAGCAATACTTACCAATGAGGAAGTTGAGATCGGTAATTTTGTCGTCTTCTCTAACAAGTGTGGCAGTGAGACCGAGTTTGCAATGCGCTTGCACAATAGTCAACACTCGACGGAACATCTTCGCAGGAATTGTGTGCACTTCTGAATCCAGGTGAAAATCAACAATCAGTAACAGGAAAACCGCCTGCGGATATATTCAAATAAAAACAAAAAAAGAAAAAGCAAGTCCATGAAAATTTGATACTGACCATCCAACAGTAAAAGTCCCCACTCCTGGCTCTCAATGAACTTCATCGCCTCTTCAGCAGCATAGGTACGCTTACCCGCATAAGCCACCATAGAGTAAGTACTTATACAAACGATTGGCTAAAGTTAAATGTTGAAAGCACCAAAAGATTTAACAAATTTGACAAAAACAAAAAGGTTATATAGTACCTTACTCGCATCGGCACCATGTGGCACGGAATCTTTCGCTTCTCGAGTGAATCTTACAATTTGCTTGTCGCTAATTGTGGACCACAACTAAAATTACCCTATGAACTTCAACAAATATGAAATCATGAACCCAATCACATTAATAGTGAATCTTAGAATTTGCAGTCATAATCAGTGAATTGCTGACCCCTACTGAAAACTCTTGATCCCTCTACCAAAAAATCGTACACGATTCCAATCTCAACTTAAACTGAGCTCGCCACTGCTCCACAGACACGTTAGAATTTGCCAGAACCAGACAGCGTTTGTTGACGGTGGTCACTGCAGTGACACCCACAAGAGTTTTGCCAGCTCCACAAGGAAGTACGATTACTCCGGATCTGAAATTGCATAGGTGGGTATTTTGTAGGTAAGAATGAATCGACGATATCCATTAAGAATCTATCGGATAAGGAAAGGAGGAAAGCGAAAAGGCAGAAAACTCACCTTGCCCGACTATTTCCAAACATTTTACGCAAACTCTTCTCCTGATAAGGACGAAGAGTAGTCGATGGCTTCAGATCAATTCCGAGATTCGGGTTCATGGTGTCATTTCGGAAATCGTATTCTGCTAGAAGTGGATACTCCAGCTCAATGCAACGTTTTTGCACAGTCTCAATAGTTTCCTATAAGAGCAACGCATAAATGGGCAGAAGCGACGCTTTCATCAAAATGGCTGAAGGTACATTTTAGCAGTTACAACACAACACAGATAATTTTGAGAGAAATTCATAGGAAATGAATCGAACCAGCCAGAAAACAGAAAGATTGCATTTGAGATGGGCAGCGGTGGGCAGGTGTTTCGATATTTTTCGGGGACAGGACTAGTTCTACGTAGGATAGCAAACATAGAACATTTTTAGATATCATATCCAACACAAGCCAGAAGTCTAGAAACCCCAATATGTATAGATGAAATGCTACAACTTTACTTTATGATTATTCACCTGTTTGATTTCAAACGTGAGCAATTGCAGACTGCGAATCTCCGCATCTTCTTCATCATCTCCATCCATTTTACCATAGAGTTCTCCAATGTCCTCCTGGAACCTAAAGTAAAATCGGCTCATATTAGAGAAAAGGACAAAATGTCATCAAATATCAAAATGGGCAGGCCTAAAGTAAACAAAAATTGCAAAAGAACGTAAACCATCCAGCTGGTACTCACATCATCTCCACCTTCAGGCTTTTTCTCTTCTTCTTTCTTTTGTTCTTGAGGAAAATTAATCTTCTCGATTTGAGTCTGAAATCGAATCATAAGGACCATAATCATAGATCATGAAGGAACATAGAAAGGATAAGATCAAGCAATTCTATCTCTACGCGGATGCCTGAATTAAATGGCAAGTGTTGAGGAGGCAAGTCAGCGCTTGCATAGGCCGAAAAACAAACTTGAACAAATAGTTAAAGCTAAAATGTCAACTGCCACTCTTCTTAACCACTACACCACGCACAGAGGAACTTAACATTTGAAAACCCGACCTTGGTTTCCTCAACTGGTTTCTCGTCTTCCAGTATACATGACTGTATAACTTTATCCTTCAACAACTTCTGGATGACATCCGAATGACGGGATTCCACAAAATATCGATTATGTTTCAACACCAGTTTCACTTTCCCATAACTCAATGTGCACATCTGCAAGGAAGGAAGGTTAGCTCAATATCTGCGCTTCTGACATCACTTGAAAAACAATTCGAATCGAAGCAATCAATCAAGCCAAATTAAACAACCCACTTTGATGAACTCAACAATTCCCTTCGGTAGAGCGCTTTTACTAAGCCTTTCCAAATACTCGATGATGTCATTGGTCTGCAATCCCACAGAAACTGCCGCATACAGAGAGTATGCAGTGAGTTGGTACTCATGAATATGTTCAGGTCGACAAACGGGCTAAACAAAATGTTGATCTATCAAATGAAGAATCAACTACGAATATCCAGAAAGCCTCTGTAGCACATACCTCGGATATAGCGATAAGGAAATCTCGTGCATGCTTATAAACGGGACTAAATGATTCGAGGAATATATGACCATCAGGAGCCACCCAAAGTGGACGAGAAGCGTGGTCAGCCTTAAGGAAAGCTGTGGAATTACAACAGAATTCGATGACTACAGTTTAATCAAAACCAGCTGCATGTTTGGAACAACCTGTATAGGACACCAAACATATCAGTAGGCTACGGAATTGAGCTAGTTTTACAAAAAGAAGATTTAAAAACCTAATTCAGAGCTCCCAGCCCTCCGCACCTCTCTTTGACCAGCTTCAGCGCTTCCATAGTCGCTGATCTAAGATCGTTACGATCAGACGACCGACTATGAAAGCGCCTTCAACACAATTACTGTTCTGATAAAACCACACACAGTTGTTTTTCGAGGAGCCGCACGCGCGCCGCTCTCCTTTTTTTCGTGATTACATATTTATTATATCTGTTAGGTGAAAACAAATGAGAATTAAGCTCATCAGAAAACAAAAAAAGCCAAATAAAAAGAGGTTGCCTGTAATTAAGGAAACTGGTTGGACGAAAATATTCTCCTATATACAACGCTTGCTTCGGAACTAGAGAAGTAGAGCTAATAAGAGTTACGAGATGGAGCAAAAATACTACAGATCATGGTCTAGTCAACAACCATGAAGATAAACAAGCCCGAGGCCACAGCATGTGGGCGTATTTGCTTCGTGTATCGAAAAGCAAATGTCCGGCTGTATCAGAAGCTAACTTTGATTGATAACCAGCACGAACTACCCCTTTTCTTTATCTCATTAGAACACTTTTTAATATTTAAGCATCCTACACTGACTTCATCGAATCATGGTAATAACGCCCACGCCACTGCAATGCTGCTACACAATTACAATAGCAAAAAATATATTCAAAAATGTGAGTGATCACCTTCAAAGGCATTTCGGACCGGTAGTCCTTTCCACCAAACTCATCCGTGATGACTGCAGCATTCTCTCCACCCAAATTTTGAGATGCCGCTTTTGGGACTGTAATAATCTTGATTTTGTCCATTTTTATAAGTTTTTTCTTTAATGAGAAGACTAAGAAATTACTACGCCATTCGGCTAAAGTCACTAAATTCAAAGCGCTGATGAACCATAGTTCTTCCAATTCGTGTTTTCTTCGTTCATAGAATTATCATGAAATACTGCCCTAAAACTCAAAATAAAAAACCTCTCACACAGCGCTTGTGTAAATCTATGACGCTGACTGGTGATATTTTAAATTGTTAATATTTCACTTAAAATGACTAACCAGGAGCCGAGACCTCCTTCTCAACCTGCTTGTCTATCGAATTGTTCGAGAAACCTTCCTCTGAGTTGAATTCGGAGTTGTAGGTTTCCCAGCGACCTCGTCGCTTCCGCTCACGGCGGGACATGACTGCAAGTGCCAGCAAGTTGAGGGGTGTGCCCTGAAAGAGCGCTGTTTCGAAAATCACACGATTGAGGACCGCCTCACGTGTTGGAAATATTATGGGTGCGCAGGAGCGTCTAGACAACAATGGATGCTCCTTCCAACTTTCATTTCAAGCAATCGAACCTTAGTTGTTCGAAAAAAATGGAATGATTCTCAAGTGGTTAACTGATGGGGGAGTTTCAACACGGCTACTGGTCCCAAACGATGTTTTTAAACGACAAAAACTGAAACAATGAATAGTGTGACTGAAGGAATATGTTTATTATGATCATTTGTTGGACTGCCAGGCTTGCTAAGGATTTTTTATGACAGCCGGCGGTAAAATTTACAAGTGTTTCACCCCGACCGTGTTGCGATCGGGTGCTATGTGATTTCACGGCGTGACTTTCGAAATTAGGAGTTAAAGGAGAACTAGGCCATTTTGAGAAACCTTCAGCATAGTGAGCAATACATCCTTTCCAATAAGTACTATGAGAATGGTGTCTCATCCAGTAAGGGGGCGTGTTGTGCGGCAGTTGCTGCGCCTACAGAAACTCCAACTTTTGCAGTGTGACGAAATCATCAGAAAATCGTGAACCATTACATGGGCTTTAAACCCCCGAAGCTTCCCCACCCTGCAAAAAATTGGATTACTTTATGCGATATAAACTCTCCTAATCTCCCCTCCCGTGCCCCCTTTTGGTGAGACCTTGCGAATGTGTAGGAAAACAACATGAGAACAAAAAGGATGGAGGTAACGAGATGATGGATTCGAACAGAAAGGAAAAAGTATCAGTGATGGAGCAATCTATGACTAGTTCAAGAATGATACAGAAGAGAATGCGAAGCATTTTTGTTAACATCTTCTCGTTTCTGTGAGGACGCCTCACGGAAAGCTCTCAAAGAATTAAGTGAGGGCTCGCAGGAGGAGGCGAACAGAGCGCCGCGCCGCCGCGT